ACTTCTTCCCACCATTATATTACACAGATAATGGCATAAAGTGGTATTTTCTGACACAAGTGCAGCGAATGTAACGCAGTTCAAGCACATTAGGACGCCTGTATTATTTACATCTGAAAAATGTCTTAATGCAAAATCTCATTTCAAAAGCCTGTGTGAAACATTACTCGTGATTAAACCATCATCACAACGGACTATAACGCTACAATTAGCGAAGACTTGCGATAAGGTCAATGCGTTAACGCACTTGGATGACCTTGGTTGTTGTCCTCCTCCGTGTTACATCACTCCAGTGTAAATGGGGCATGGAGAAGCATTTTAGCCACAATTTGTCGTCTTCTAGTGGTTCGTAGTCAGTCGTCACAGCACTGGATATCTCTTCTAACCCTATGTTTGATTTGGTATAACTGGTGCAGCATCACAGGCAACTGCTGTGAGCAGATGAATTTGACAGCTGGCGACTGTGACTGGCTGACTAACGTGATGTCACTAGGGTCAGGTAGTCTACCGTGCACAACCATAGAGGCGTAGAGCACTAGTTTCAGTAACGTAGCATGGCCTTCCACGTCATATTGGTATGTTTAGGGCTTACTCCACAGCTACAACTACAGAAAGTAGCAAAACATCCTGGAATTATTCAGCGGATCCCAAGACTGCCCTTAATAAAGTTGGGGCGGAGTCTAAAAACTGAGTCCGAGCAGTGCGTAGCAGAGAATAGAAGAACAAACCAGCTGATTTCTGCAGGTATCCAATGTTGCCAAGTTGCTGTGTTTTGGCCATTCCACGTTGCTTTTAGTGGTTTTTTCGACAGAAATGCATTTTAAGTACCTATTTTAATGAAAAGGCGTGAAAAAGGTGAAAAATATTCGTTTTCATTTGGTCGAGAAAAGACTGTCTCTCCATCGAATTGATTTGCCGAGGTGCACACGAAATGTCAGAATTCGTTGTTTAGTATTGGCTTTTCTTGTGTTATAGGCTCCAAAAGCCTACAGATTAACTTTAAATCAGTTTATTCTGATCGAAGTTAGTTTACGTTTCAGATTTGAGTGTACTTAATTGTAGGAAGTTGTGTTCTTATAACTTAATAGTTATATATATCTTTGTGCACTCATTGGCTTTTTATCACTGATTTATAAAGGTTATATATTTGAAGTCATATTTAATTTTTTCCCGGTTCGTTTTAAATAACATGCCTACCAAAAGAAACCGCTGCGGAAGGGTTATGTGCCAGTTTCCAGTGGATGAGGGAATGCAGTGTGATAACTGCGAGAGATGGTTTCACAGTATGTGCACGAACCTCACTCCTGCAGCCTTCAAACGCTGCTGCAAACCTCTAGCAAACTGGTTGTTCAATGACTGCTGTAGTACAACTAAATTCCCTATTACAGAAGCTATTGCCAGTGGGGCTTTAAAGCTCATGGACTGCAAGCGTCCTCCACCACAGGAGAATACCGACTATTGCTTAGATAACGTGACCAGCGCCATCGACAAAACAGTACCTGACCCCGATGCGTCCTTGCCAATAAGTGAGTGTCCTTCAGCACAGAAGAGCACCCACCACATTTCAGACACCCAAGCTGCCCCCACGATACTGGATAAGCCCTCCAGTGACAGTAATAGGAAAACTGCCGCAAAGGAGAGACGTACCAGGGGTCGAAAATCTGCAGCTCAAGTCACCCAGGGACTGGAGGATCAAGCCTCACCCCACATCGGTGAGTAGCAAGCAGATAAATCCTACTACATTAGCGAGGAGGACGCCAATGCATGGCGTAATGTAGTGTCTCGCAAAAAGCGAGATAAGGATAACACATTGGCTACACCGCCCAAGAAGGACGGAAGCACACTTACGCCGCAGAGCAAGAAAGCCATGGCAAGCAAACCTGATCTCTCTGACAGGTCGCTGATTCTCTACAAGGTGAAAGAATCACTGGCCCCCGATCCCAAGGCCAGATTCGAGCATGACCTTAACTTGGTTAAGTCCCTTTTAGACAAGCTACTGCCACAAACAGTATCAGGCATTACTATACACAGCGTATATAGAATAGGCCAAAAGCCTGAACCTACTGTAAGTCAGCCTGTACGTCTCCTCAAAGTCGTACTGAACTCGAATGAAGAGAGGGATGCTATTCTAAGCAACTCTCATATTCTTAAAGGATCAGGGATGTATGTCCGCGCCAATTTAAGCCTAGCAGACCATGTCAAAAGACAGTCTGCGACCCTAGAATTAAGCGAACGACGCCGAAACGGCGAAAAGGTTTTTCGGGTTGTCCGAATTCGTAGTTTAATGATCCCGAAACCTCTGTGGGTAGGCCGGGGAAGCACCAATCTGAATTAAAAGTCTGCTACACAAACGCCCGCAGCTTGTTAAATAAACGGACTGAGCTGGTTAACATGATAGACTCCGGAAACCCTGATGTAACTATTATCACAGAGACATGGCTCACACCCGATGTCACTGACAGCGAAGTTAACCTGCCAAACTTTGAAGTGCATTAGGTGGACCGGCTAAGCCGGAAAGGAGGTGGCGTAGTCGTCTACCTCAAGAAATGCTTAACCGTGCGTGGTATCAAAGCACTCGCTCACGAAAGTGAGTCGTGCGAACCTCTACGCTGCAGGATTAAATACATAGGCCAAGACATTGACCTCATTGCTGTGTACCGCAGTCCTGACTGCAGTGCAGATGTCTTCCTAATGGAGGAGCTAGGCTCCTGAACTTCGAAATGTCGAAGTCCCGTAGTCGGCGACTTCAACGCCCAACGTCGAGCCTAACAACTCCATCTTCAGTCAACTCCTTTGATCATAAAATGCTGGAATCCAGTAAATCGCTAGCCCTAGTCCAACATATCAATAAGCCCACGCGCCATGATTCACAGCACTCCTCCTCAACTCTGGACCTAGTGTTCTCCCACGGTGAGGATGTGGATCTCATACAACATCTTCCTCCGTTAGGAAGAAGTGACCATGCTTTACTCACTTTCAAGTTCACAGCAACGGCAGCAAGGGCCAAAACCCCAGCTCGGCGAAACGTTTGGAAAGCTGATATAAATGCAGTTGTCTCAGCGGCCAACTCAGTAAACTGGTACATCAACCCAGAGTCCCAAGTAGAAGCCGCATGGAACCAATTTAGACAACTTTACGCACAAGTAACTGAGCCTTTCATCCCTTGGTCTGTTCCAAAGGGTCGGAAACATTTCCCCCCTTGGATAAACCGAGAGATTCGTAAGTTTCTCAGACGTCAACACAAATTTTGGAACCTGTTTGTCACACTCAGGACTTCTGAGACCAGGAAATTATATAACATTGCTAGAAATAAAGCTATTGCATAAATCCACCAATCAAGGATGAAGTTCGAGGCACACCTGGCTCAAAATGCAAAGGCACAACATAAGAAAATTTTCTCGTACATGAATTTCAGGAATAAAACATCCAGCGGTGTCCCAAACTTGGCTACTGACAATCATACAATCGAAGAAGATCAAGAAAAAGCAGAAGCAATGGCAAACTACTTCTCCCAAGTCTTCACTCAGGAGTCATCACTGCCCATGGCATCAGCTTTGGCCGCATTAGAAGAACATGGGATAGATTCCGTTGACATCAACTAGGGCATCGCGCTCAACTGCTTAATGAAACTAGATGCAGGGAAATCAATGGGCCCTGATAATCTTCACCTAAAGCTTCTCAAGGAGCTATCAGCCCACATAGCCGCCCTTGATCACGATCTTCAAGCTATCTCTCCTAAATGGAGTGTTACCGAGTGATTGGAAAGACGCCATAGTAACCCCCATCCACAAAGGAGGAACAAGACAAAGCCCTTGAAATTACAGGTCTATCAGTCTCACCTGCACTTTAATCAAGACACTGAAAAGAATTATCAAGAAAAGCATCGTGGCTTATCTGGAAAATAGCAGCTTGTCATCTCGAGCACAGCATGGCTTTCGGAGGCAGAGGGTTAGGATCAACTCAAAACTCTCCTCTTGGACAGCGGTACGTAGCGGGGTGCCACAAGGCACGGTACTCGGTCGTCTCCTATTTATTCTGTATATCATTGAGTTACCTCTGCTCACCGATTCCCATATGGTCCTATACTCAGATGACTTAAAGATTCGGAGAGAGCTGAAGGGCAACAGTGATACGTCCACACTGCAAGAGGACCTCAACGCACTGTCACAGTGGTCCAGAGAGTGGATGCTCCCGATCAATGTGGCAAAATGTGCAACCATGCGCATTGGACAATCAAGCACAAGCCCCTACGAATTAGAGGGAATAACACTTCCATCAGTTCAGACTCACTTGGACTTAGGTGTCATAGTTAGCCACGACTTAAAAACTACAGCACACTGTCGCGCGGTGACTGCACTTAATTTCAGGTCCTTATGAGCAATTCGCAGAGCCTTTACTAGAATCACCAGAGAAATGTTCACCTCTTTATATACATCTCTGGTGAAGTCAAGACTGGAAACTGCATCCAGGCCGCCAGTCCTTGACTAAAAGGGGACTCACACATTCTAGAAGGTGTTCAAAGGAAGGCAACACGTATGTTTCACAGCATAGTCAACTTAGCACACGAGGAAAGACTAGATAGTTTAAATCTCTTCTCGCTGCCATACCGTAGGCAGGGAGGAGATTTAATCACAATGTTTAGAATTTTAAATAATGACTAAGGACCTGACCTATTCTCTCTTTTCCTCCCCACCAGGTCGGAACACCTTAGAGGACATAGCAGGAGAGTTCAAAAGCCAAGGAGAAATCATATTGCTGTTGAGTACTGGTTCTCACATCGAGTCATAAACTCTTGGAACCGACTCCCAGAAGAAGTGGTGTCTGCAACCTCAACTGATTCATTCAAGGAGGGTTTGGAAAACCACAGAAATCTACTAGTAAAGGGTTTACATAGGCTATAAGCCTTCAATACTTAACCAATAAATCTGAAATCTGAAATATTGGACATCTGAACAATTTGCGTTCTGATTTTGATAGTGCGTGCTACGGTTGAAAGCGTGATGGGTTTTCAGAAATTTGGGTCGCGAGGTGGTGGTGGACGTGGCGGCTTTCGAGGTGGTAGAGGCGGTGGTCGCTTTGACAATTCAAACTCTGGTCCTCCAGAGGAAATTGTTGAGGCTGGCGTTTTCGCTCATCCATGTCAGGAAGATATAGTGTGCAAAATTACCTCTCAAAAAATTCCTTATTCTAATGTACCAGTATACCTCGAGAATAAAGAAGAAGTTGGAAGGGTTGACGAAATCTTTGGCCCTATTAAAGATGCGGTACTGTTCCAATGTAATTCTCTAATTTCTCCCATTTAGTATTTTTCAATCAAGTTGGCTGACACATTGAAGAGTAAATCATTCAAGGAAGGAGTTAAAGTAATTTGATAATAACGCGTTATATGTTTCTTAGTTTTACATGGATCCTGCAAAGTTCCTAACTCTTGATCGTGTCCTTAATCCGAATTCTGGTAGAGGTATGTTGTTATCCTAGTCAGTACATATATTCGCCACGTGATATCATTAAGGATAGTAACTCATAGTTTGTAACTGTTGTGCGAATCTCAGTTACAGTGACATCTGTCTTCGTATTATCTCAATGACATTCACGATGTTTACACTACATGTCATACAATATTGTGACCTATATAGGTCACAATATTGACATTTACATATATATGTAAATATACACAGTGTCCCTTGTGCACCTGTCTAATCTGAGTTTAGTTTCGCTCACCAAATGCACCACTTCTAAATTAGCCGTAGACTCGAACTCTGACTAATCCAATTTGGTATGCGTTTTATAATTTCTACCCTATAAATAGTGATGGTTTCGTCCAAGTCTCTCCATTCTCGACGTCACTTTTTTCTGTTGCCAATTTAAATGGGACACTAGTCGTTCGCAGATGACCGACTTCTCAATATCTATGTAAGCCTTAAATCGTGATTGTAATAGCCTAATACAAGTATGAGTGTGTCATCAGGTCAAAGTTTACATCACTTAGTTAAAATGACAGTAGGGTAACTAGACGACGTTCGTCGGTGGTACAGCGGTTAGGACGCTCGCCGACCATGCACATGGTCCGAGGTTCGGTCCCCGGCCGACGCACTCCAAGTCAGAAATAATGCTGGTAAAGAGAAAAGGTTGGGCATGAGACAACCCCATCCGGTGAAAATAAACACTACTACAGAAACTTCAAGCCACTAGCTTGAGGCCCCATGTTCCACTTGGAACGTGAAGGAAAAAAATAAGACAAGACAAACTTTTGGAATAACAGCTCTCTGAGTACAATTGTCTTGTATCAACATGTGTTTACGTCTGAGAACACATATCCGAAGACTATACATATTGCAAATACCTGACTGGTCTCAAAGATTTCAAAAGTGATCAGCTTTATATACAAACTTAGGTGTTGCGATAATGATATCAAGTTAGTTCTAAGAACCTGATACGTTAATACATTTAATTAGCACTTATTTTAAAAAGATAGCTCGTAGACTTGTCTTTATGTTTCCTTGTAATTGACGTAAATAGCCCTGAACTATTCCTTGGTGTATATTGTCTTTGAATATGCTAAACCATTTTCAAATTTTTCAACTATTATGCAGAGTTTTGTGCTTAGAATCCCATTATCTCATCCTTTTTACTCCTTTTGAAAAAATAGGGCGTGGAGGTGGACGAGGTCGTGGAGGTCAAAGAGGTGATTTTAGGGGCGGCCGAGGAGGTAATGATTCATCAAGGGGCCGTGGTAGAGGTGAATTCAGAGGTGGTCGTGGTGAATCTCGTGGAGGTCGGGGTTTCCCAGGACGTTGGAGTGATAGGGGTGGTCGTGGCAATCGTGGTGGTCCTCGAGGTGGGAGAGGAGAATCTAATGGTTATCGTGGTGGTGGACGTCACTCATTTGGAGAGAAACGCAATGGAAGTTTCAATGCTTCAGATACTCCTCAAAGCAAAAAATTTAAGTCAGAAGATTAGGTTAATCTCTGTTTTTGTACAAAACAACTTTGTACTGTATAATAAATCTTTTCAAGTGTTATCTTCATTCTCTATTTGTAATATAGTTGCCACTATTTTCAATAGTATTTCTCTCGGTTACACGCGTTGTCACTTATGCTTGTCGGTGCAACTGTGAATCGTCTTCTTTTCCGAACCCTTTCCAGCCCTTGGGCTATTAACTTGACGCAGTTCGCACATTATAATGCGATATACTGGCTGGAGCAAACAATTGTGAAGGCCCACTTATATGAGAGATGTAGCGTTTATATGGTGTACGTTACTTGACAGTCGCAATGTCAAGAATCCGACACCAAACAATGTTTAGGAAATTGCCGACGAACAGAGCTGTAATCGTTGTTTTCCGCTCTTACTTAACCCCATTATAGATTTAATGATCTTTTTGCTTCTGGTCTTTTTTAGTATCACAGTGATCGACTTGTTTTCAGGGAAAAACCTTGTTCCAGAGTATGCGATCCACTTTGTTCTAGATGCTCAGTAATATAATCAATTTTCTTTTTCAAACGTCCCCTGAAGATAAGAAATTTAAAATATCTCAGGCAGTCACCATAATGTTTCGTGTTCAATACGGCACAATATAATAAGGTTAGCTGTCAAGTGGTAGATAGGAAGTGTAGGTCCACCACCCAGGTTATGAAACTTAATCGATTGAAATGACTAGAAAGTGTTACATATGATGGGTGACCACTGTCCTTGACAAGGAGTGTTGGCTGAAGTCAGATAGGGTTGAAAAAGAGGTAGGGGTGGCCGAATCAAAACGTGGCACCAGCTCACTAATCATTTAACCATTAGTACGAGCCACGTTGACGAATGTTTTGACTATCTTGCCAAGGTGCTCAGGACACAAGGAATGAGTGGTTTTGGATTATTGCTGATATGGCGTCGGTGGCACAGTGGTTAGGACTCTCGCCTACCATGCACATTGTTCAGGGTTCGATCCCCTGCCGACGCACACCTGATATCTATGGTCGACCTGCAAAATTTGGACTACCCATATCACATACTGAAAATTCTATACCTGTACCTAAAATACGGTGTGAAATCAAGCTGTAATCAAAAATAAATTATTCGCCATGGAGCACATGTACTTCTCCCTGGTCTTCGTCTGATTGCTCTCTCTTCAGGGTGCTTTCGTCTAGTGCGATTTCGACACATTTTCTCTACTTATATGAACTCATGTGTTTTTGTACAGAGTCTTAGGTTGGTTAGTCAATCGGTCGCCTACCATAGGAGGCATACAAGTTAGGTCTCTGGGTGACGCACTGGAAAACCTTACCTAGCCGATAATGAGTTTGGCAAAGAGTGGAGATTAAGGGTAAGATTACCAATCGCACCCCTCAGGAAAAATACCACTGGTGCTAAAACTTTAAAGCACAAGCTCTCAGCTCTATGTCCAACTCGGGACGCAAAGGAATGAAGAAAAACAACATTTGAAAGACTCATGTATTTATTCATAAAACATGGAACAGGTAATTTATCAACATTAATTTTTCTATAACCTAGTATTTTCCAAATGACGTTCTCCACTTTTCGTTGTGAATCACTTAGTCTAGACGATGTCATATCTGACATAGTGCTTTCGTCAATTAATGCATTTTACTGATAAAGTGGATTAATAATTCGAAAGCATTACGTACCGCATGTTAAAGTGGGATGCAAACAATGAAAAACTAGTTCAATAATGTTTCACTCTAGAAGATTCAGTTCTTAGCTTGATTGATCTTAACAAGCCAGTTCTTCAATGTGCTGAATTTTTCAGGATACACTTCTAATGCCAGCGGTCACGTGTAAGTCGGTAACTTGCTTGAATTGTTTTTTACTATCCAATATATTGGCTACCTGTCTTTGATCACAGATGTTTGTGTTCTGTCTCCCATCTTAAGTGATATGATACTATGAACAATATTTAGGTTAGGTGTAGTTTCAGGTAAGACAATCGGTGAGGTTGTGAAACTACATCGATTAAGATAGTTAGCATACGTTTTGCGCCTAATGAGCCATCACATTCCTCGATGAGTAATCTTAGCTGACATAGAATAGTGTTGGAAAAGAGTTAGAGGTGGTCAAATTTAAATCTGTCATTAATCCATGAAGTCTTTGGCAATTGGTTTAATCCATGTAAGTGGGTGTAGACTGCAATAATTAGACATCTGGTCGACATTGGTCACCTTAGTTATGCTATCTCTTCCTGTAAAGTTAATTATAAGGTGAAAAATAACCTGCGAAAGTCGTCACGTATCCGACTCGTCTGTATCGCTGAACATTGGACATCGAGATAGGAAAGCTTGAGCTCAGAAGGAGTTTGTTCAACGACTCATTGTTTCATGGTCGTAATCCCTCTACGTTAAACTGCTATACAATTTCTACCTTGGCCTTGTTTATTTTTCGTCTTGTTTAACTAATCTGTATATCCATTCCTTGTATTCATATCATTATTATTTTCGCTTTGGAGAATTTCCCATCTTATCTCATTTATCATCCTTTATTTATTTAATATAGTATAATTACCAAAATGCTAACCTAGTCACGTGGTTTTGTTTACCTACTAGTCTTAAATAGTTCTACACCCCTCTCTAAGTTTTATTTATTCCATGGACTATTTATAAACTATACAACTTATTGTGTTGCTTGATGTGTACCTGTGATTGTAATCACGAATACCTTGTCACAATTCACATTATTTCAAGAAATCATATATTTATAAATATACTGTTATACAACTTGGTAGTAAAGCCATTGAAAGGAGTCCCTTCTCTGAATCGCTTGTTTTCATTTTCTTCTTGTTCCAATGGCCGTTTTTCTTACAAATTTAGCAGACTATCAAAAATCTATGCAATTGACTACTCTTAAAACAGTGCCCAACTGAAAGTCTTGCAAATTTCTGTGGCGATATTTTAGTTTCCATAAAAGTGATACCTTGGAAGGATTCGAAGACAGACTTATTTAACATATGCAGAGCTCTGATTTATCGTAGAAAAGTTTGTTGAGAAACGTATTGATTTTAAAGTATTCGATATGAGTTTAACATAACATAAGCTTTATTCCAAATCAGTACTTGTGATACAGAATGGAATTCTCAGCATTTTACTACAATATTGCATCCAGTTTTTACATTAACAATAAATAAAGTTCTACATAGATTAAAGTTATCTCAACAACATATTAGTATGTCGGTAGCAAAGCCAAAATTAAAGTGTTTGAAGGTGTTAGAAAAGTAGATACTACTAGCATATTTACTGGCGTAAGCGATAGCAAAATGGTCGAGATATACAGAGTGTGAAAGAACGAACAAGAATGTTTTAAGTAGAGTTTGCAAGGAAGAGAGAAACAAAACAGCACATAACAAAAATAAAATACAGAATGAAGAGCGAGAAAACGTTGTACCTATAAATGATGTGAGTTGGAAAGACGAGATCTATTGGTTCTACTGTCTATTTAATAAGTTAAAGGTTTCATGCCTGATGCATTCTTTATCGCACAGAACACGGGCTAGGTAGGGTATGGATGAGTTTTTGTACTTACTAGTGCGGGCATATAGTTTCCTATATAGGCTTCTTGTTTTCCCTGAAGAGATACATGGGGAGAGTTGTGAATGTAGAGGGTGTTGTGAGTCAGATAAAATGGATTTCACCCATTTTTCACATGAGTCCATGTGCCTGTCCACCAGAATGTTAACAAGCTGGCTAAGTGGCAAACTGCTTACCCTACTGACAGCCTTTAACATCCTGCGTAATAAGATATAGTCTTTCTTCAGTGGCCCTGGAAACACTAAGGGGGAACAATAGAGAATAATGGGCAAAATACGAGAGTTAACGAGTCGTAGGAGTAAGGGTTGGGTTATACCAGAATGTCTTAACTTCTTGATGTAGAAGGTAAGACGGAATATTTTCCTAGAAATCATCAAGATATGAGACGATCAGGAAAGATCAGCAGATAAAATGACACCAAGATATTTCATTTCCGACTTGGTCCCTATTTCAGTGTCATCTATGTTGCACACCTCGTGAGTGCTAACCAGTTTGTTTAGGTCAGATTTGTGCCTAAAGGTGAAATTGACTGTTTGGCATTTGGAGGGGTTTAAGGTAAGAACGTTTTTCTTGGACCACTGGCTAACTTGTGATAAAAAGCCATTTAGTTTAGTGCAGTCACTTTGACATTTGACAGATAAAGATACAGTCATATCGTCAGCATATTTGACAAAGTTAATGTCATTTGAAGACGGTAGGTCATGTAGGAAGAATGAAAAGAGAAGTGGGGAGAGTACAGCACCTTGGGGGACACCAGCTTCTGTGAGCACAGCAGAGGAGGATTGGCCTTTGTATACGGTGTACTGCATTCTGTTTGAAAAGTAGGAATGCAACCAGTTAGTGACCCAGGACTCGGTTTGTGTCATGGAGAGCTTATTTAGCAAGAGACATCTAGGTACAGAGTCGAAAGCAGAAGTAAAGTCAAGAAACGTGCAGCGGACATATTTGGCACCTTTGTCTAATGATGAGACAATACTGTTGTGTAAGACGGCTGCAGCGTCTAAAGTACTCCTACCCTGTCTGTAGGCAAATTGTTTGGGGTCTTCGAAGCTTTTAAGAGAGGGTTCGAGTTTAAGAAGTACTAGTTTTTCCATGAGCTTTAGAAACGGGGAAGTGATGGCGATGGGTGTGAACTTTACGTTCTTGCTATTGACAGGTTTAGGGACAGGGACTATTTTAATGTCTTTCCATGGAACAGGTACAACGTTTTCGGAGAAAGAAGCATTTAGGATATTAGTTAGAGGAAAACATAAAGTTGAGAAATAATAATAATAACTCGCTGTATTCCAGAACATTGTTTATGATACAGTGTGGAATTTTCAGCATTTGGTACAATATTGCATCTGATTTACTCGTCAACAGCAGAATCAAAAGTAATATTACAGGGTTTATGTAACTAGAGTCGATAATAGCAGCTTTTTGGCATTAGCAGTG